GCCGCTAGGGTCCCTGGGTGCTGAGCAAGGCGACCCAGTGTCTTACATGCCGTGACTCAGTACTGGGTCATGACCCGACCTTTGAAAAACACTGCCTTAGATCTTAAACCAAAGATACCACCTGTAGCCAATCCTACAATAAACTATCTAAAGATTTATTAAGTAAGAAAAGGAAAGGAATTAGTTGGTAAACATAGATACACAAATGAGTTACACAAATAGAAGCTTCTATAATAAACAAGCTTTCTATGTCCTGTAGGGCTAACCCAGGTTAAACATATGGGGACTTTGTGCTTATGCCTATGTGATGGTGTGTACCTGACCCTTTGAGCCCACCCCCCTCCCCCTGGTGGACGCTCTGTGGTCCTCCTACATCCTGCCCCAGGAAGGAGCAATGAAAGTAGGTCCTCCAGGCTGGCCTAGAGAGGCCCCATGGAAGCAGCCAATCAGAGCCCAGCAGGCTCAGATAAAAGTTGCTGCAGGTCTTTAGCATGTCAGTTCCTGCCTGGGACCAAAAGGGTGAGGAAGGGGCTCTGCCAAAGGCACTCAACTGGCTGCATTTACTGGACCTGGGAGTGAGAGGACCTGAGAACTGTAACTCTAAAATAACAGGTGAAGATAAAGGGACCAGGTGGGAAGAGGTCCAGGGAATGCAGCAGCAACTAACCGATGGAAAGTATCAGAGGGATAGCCATGTTAGTCTGGATCTGTAAAAAGCGACAAAGAGTCCTGTGGCACCTTATAGACTAACAGACGTATTGGAGCATAAGCTTTCATGGGTGTAACTGATGGAAGTAATGCTTAGCTGCTGTCTATAGGGTCCTTGGGGTGGAACCCAGAGTAGGGGTGGGTCCAAGTTTCCCTGCTGGCAAAGTGACCTAAGCCCCTAGAAGGGGATGAGGCCCCTTTAGAAACCTGGGTTATGTGATTTAAAGGACCCAAAGGTGGGGCTAATGTCCCTGATGAGGGCAGTTTGGTGAATGCTTCGCTATCCTGGAAGCGGTCTGTACTGCCTGTGTGAGTTGGCCAGAGGGCTTAGTCACTGAAGACCCACCTAGCAAGGTCAGCAACATACAGGGGGCACCAAGAGCAGGAAAACGACTGCAGCACCATACTCAGCTGCTAGGAGGCACTCAAGAAGTGAGGACCTCCATTACAGCCTAGTAAAATTTGCCCCCAGTAACTCATTTGTGTATCTACCATTACCTCTTCATGGGGGGAGGGTAAAACAACTGGGGGTGGGGGGTTGTGGCAGAGGCTTGAGGCAATTAGGACTGTGGTGAACTTGAAGATGGTGGGCATTACAAATGTTGGTGAAATAATTGCTGGCTTTGAGAGAATGGACTTTCCAAATTGGACCAGAGCCCCGGATGGGACTTGTGCCTATAGTTGCCTACCACGAGGAATACATGCGTACATAAACTGCAAAGAGTGCTAACCCATCATAGGAGGAGCAGGCCCTGGTCAACCACAGCGCAGATTCCTGGACACTGACGTGGGATGTATTGGCAAGGTGCATGATGCCTGGATGTTCTGGAGATCAGGATTTCTCCTTCATGGAGCAACTGGGACATTATTTTGACCACATGACACTATAATAAAAGGAGTCATTGTCCCCATGGTTATTCTAACCCTCTTACCCCATCCCCCGCCCCGTTGCCATGGCTTAGGAAATCATATCCTGATTTCAGAGGAGCTGGCAAAAGAAAGTTCAGCTGCACACTCAGTAGCTGTAGGATGGTGGCAGAATGTGCATTTGGCAGATTGAAATCCTGTTAGCGCTGCCTGCAAAACCATTTGGAGGCGTGTTGTCAATGCAGTCTGCATTATTGTGGCTTGCTGTATTCTGCACAATGTCTGTGAGGACAAGGGGGAACATTTTTTGGTGAGGAGTAGAATCAAGTCACTACTGGACTGCTGAGCCGGTAACAGAACCGGACAGTGCTCCTGTCATGACTGCTGGATCTATGCACACAATGGAAATCAGGGATGCTTTGTGTGCCCACGTAATGGATTTGTACAATCCCATGCATGAGGGGGAAGAAAATGGTATTTAAAGTTGGATCAGGTGCCTCAGGCAAAGGGGAACCCCCTTTATAACTTGAGCCCAGTGGGGAGGGTACTCAATGGGATGTGGGAAACCACTAGTTCAAGTCCCTCCTCTGCCTGAGGAGAAGGGATTTGAACAGGAATTTGCCACATCTCAGTAGTATGGAGTCATGCAACTTTCTCTGGTCCAGTTCTTCTTAGCATAAGTGCAATGTGCTTCAGGCAGCATGTGACCAGGATTCATCCCCGATTTTGGTTCGCTGGCTGGATCATAAGCTTCCCTGGTCTGGGCCGGGTACTGATGGGGGGTGTGAGGTGATGCTGATCCATGCCCCCCCATGGTCCAATTACTATTGATTTACTTCAATTAATGAAAGTGGAAGATCTCCAATAGGAGAGGGTGAGGGAGCACTGCATCATCCAGTGGTTAGAACACTCACCTGAGAGGTGGCAGATCCCTGTGCACTTGGACTTGAACCCACATCCCGGGTGAGTACCCTATCCAGAGCTCTTCCTTCCTCCAGATGTTTACTGTGAACTTGCCTGAGGGGCCCGATCTGGTAGACAGCCTCTCAGCATATTTGCCAGAATGGGCCCCACATGTGACTTAGGGGTGCATGTGTCTTTCCTGGTTTGTGACTCACGCTGGGACACAGGCAGGAGACCAGCATCCAGGTGCCTAGAGTGAGGCAAATGTGCACATGCTCGGAGCAGAAGCATAAGTGTCTAGGAAACTTTTACTGCGAACACTTAGGTGCTGAGTGAATTTAGGGGCCTACAGGGTTTTGCAGCTTGTGGTAGCACTTAAGTACTGTTGTGGATCACACCCTACGTGCCGACACAATGCAAGTGTTTAATAAAACACATTAGGATCTACTTGTTTTTTTAACCTCTAAGTGTGTAAGATGACTCCCTCAGTAACAGTGCTGGGGCGGTTGGTATCCGTTGGGCTTTCAGATGGAAGGTCAGTGTTTCTTTGTCATGGTCATGTGGACGAGGAACTAATGGAGCACAGGGATTTGTATATTGTGTCATTACTGAGCGTTGTGTAAGGGCTTGTCTACATGGGGAGTTATTCCAGATGACATATTCAGGGGAAGAGATAGCTCAGTGGTTTGACCATTGGCCTGCTAAACCCAGGGTTGTGAGCTCAATCCTTGAGGGGGCCGCTTAGGGATCTGGGGTAAAATCAGTACTCAGTCCTGCTAGTGAAGGCAGGGGGCTGGACTCAATGACTTTTCAGGGTCACTTCCAGCTCTATGAGATTAGGTAAATTTCCATATATTTCTTTTTTTAACTCCACATGTGGATGCGGAACTGACCAGCCCAGGCAGTCTGGCCATTGACCAGTGTCACTGCCCTAAGCTGCCATGTTTGGCAAAGCCAAATCTTGGGAAATGGGGCGGGGAGGGTACAAAGTAGAAGCCAGAGAGTAGGGTTGGGATGGGAGGGAAAGAGACTCCAGATATTGAGGTGTGGGGAGAGGGGGCTGGGTGGTGGAAATAAAACTGTGGGATGGGGTGAAGGGAAGGGGGAGTGAGGAAGTGAAGCATGAAGAAAGAGGGATCCAAGATACAGGGTGGGGGAAAGGAGAGAGCCCCCACTGGCGCTTCCTTGAGACCCTACTCACAAGCAGGTTTGTCCCCCTTGCCTTTGTAGCGCTAGGAAAAGCTACTCTGATGTCAGTACAAGGCAGTGGGGACACTGACATGAGCAGTGTCCAGCTGGAGAGGTCACATGCACTGCTCATCCTCAGGGTGCAGGTGGAAGTGGGCATGAGGGAAGAGAGGAGCACAACTTGCATTTTTCAGCCCTGGATAGCCCCACCTCTCCCACCACATTCCTGGGGCAATCCTGGGGTGTCTGGTAGCTGGAGAGAAATGGCAGTTGTTTCATTTCAGTTAGTGTTGTAGGGGCTGATGACCTTGCTTCTGTTCTTTGCTGAATGAAGCAAGGCCCTACTATCAACGCAATGGCACTTCCATCCTCTGTCTCTTCTGTGATTTGAATGACCCAATGCCGGCCTTCAGCCAGCATGGAAGAGGAAAGGTGGAAGATTTGAGCGCATGGGAACAGGAGCTGACTGGGGGAGAAAAAGAGTAGATTAGGACAAAACCTTGGTAAGCCGGGGGTGAAAGAAGAGGAGAGAAACTGAGAGTTGGAGTAGAGGATTGAGCTGGAGGGAGACTGGGACTTGTTGGGTGAGGAGACTGGGGCTGGGTAGGCAAAGCGAATGGCGATGAAGAGCCAGTTGTGGGGAACAGACAGGTTGGAGGGGACAAGACAGAGGGATCAAGCTTGGAGGAACTGGCAAAATGTTCTCTGCTCAGTAGAGCAGATACTCCCCTCCAGAGCCTGAAATGGAATCCAAGACTCCTCTGTCCCACCATTCCTCCAGTCAGCAAATACCTGAGACTAGTGGCTAACTGTCTCATCCCCCTCTAGTGCAGTCCACAGAGGACAACCTGCTATTCTTCTACTTCCCCACTTCATTAGCTCTGCAGAGGTCTGTGCAGTTGATCTAAAGGTTCCAAGCCTGCTAATGAGCCATATTGGTGTCAATATGGTGGAATGTGGTCCCCGCCCCCTGCCCCCAGTTTGCTTTTTTAAAACCTGGGAAACTACCTACAAAACTATGTAAGAATATTAAGGTTGCAAAGTCAAGCTCTCAAAAGGTAGGAAATGCCAGAATTAAGGCTGTACAACCTTCAAATTTGCCCCTTGTGCATATGCATTTGTCAAAATTATCAAGGCTAGGACCTGTATAAGGTATAACTCCTCCCCACCTATGCCAATCTATGTAGCTAATCCTCATTAAATACATCTTCCCATTCATTGTAACTGACTTTCATGGGACTTGTATCAGGCCCTGAGTGGAAACCGCTTGGAATCTTGTCCAACGCCTTGCTGTGCGTATAGAAAGCATGGACCAAATCAGCAGAGCCACTCACAACTTTCCAATGTCCATTTTATTCTTCATTCTATAAAATGTATAAGTGCAGAAATGTATTACAGGTTATTGACAATACTGATTATTAATCACCTTGGCATTGCTATGTGGGTTCATAGCAAAGCCCTTTATGTGTCAAAGTGATTGAATTTAGTCTCCTCTTTAACTGGATGGAATTTTTGACACAAACACTTATATAAATTGTTAGTATTATTGCTACTTTTTAAATTCCTGAGATATAAAAGCTGAGAAAGTGTTTTCTCTCCCACTTAGTTATAAACGTCCTCCAATCAACAGCGTGTGTTCATCAGCCACAAAGCTATTGGGTGTATTGCAAACGCTGTGTCCACTTAAACTGACATCCGCACGCAAGGAAATTTTCTGTAACAAAAAACATGAGATAGGAAAGAAAAAATAACAACGTAGCAAAGCTCCACTATTTACTCTGTTCTTTCCCCAGAGTAGCTTCTACAGACAAGGCCAAGCACTCTGAAATGCATATCACTCCAAAAACTACTTGCCTGCTAAGAAAGCAAAATATTAGTAACTCAAATAGCCCTGAGATACCCATGAGGAAATAATATGGCATTGTCCAAACTTCTCTCACGACTGTTCAGGGTGGGAAAATCTTCACAGCTCAGGAAGGAGATAATCGTCTGATGTATGGGTGACTGCAGGTGTAGATAGAGGTTGCTTGAGATAGGGTGGCAAAACAGTTTTCATTCTAATTCCGTTTTCAGTTACCAAGAATTTTCTGAAACATTCCTCTCCTGTGCTATTTCCCATGTTATTCTCTGAGCTATGATAGCTCTGTAGCACTTGTAGGATATGAAAGTAGTGAAAGCTAATTCTGATCCCTCAGTAGATATACCTTAGGGACACAGCACAAAGAAAATCTAGTGAGTAAGATGGGACCTTGCTGCTCTTTCAGGGTAGAATCTCAAAACAACCCAAAGAAAGGTGTAGTGTTGTAACTAGGCTGGTGGGGCTGAGTTTACCAGCTCTGATATTTGATGAATGATGTTAAGTTTATTTCACGAGTCTCAGGCTATAAAGCATTGGACACAAACTTCACTTTACCTGAAAATCACGGATGTAGGTGAGGAAAAAGCTGAGGAAGGAGAAAGCCAGAGACCATTCTGAGATTGTGCTGATGATGTGAACTATGTAGCCCTGTATTGAAGAGAAAATACATCTATGTAATGAGGCTGTTTTTTCAGTCTCCAGTGGCAGAAGGCTTATATTTTGGCATTTCAAAGGATGTTCTCCTAGATCTGTCAGGATTTTCCCATTACCTCTATCTAACTCTTTCATAAGAGAATGAAGTAAGCTGAATTTACCTGGTGTCTGGGAGGGAAAGGGTGACGTATTCTTTCCCCAGAAGGGTGCAGAGACGTCATGTGCAGATGGCTGACAACTTCTAACTTTCTATTTTTTGGAAGTCATGTACCTTGTACACATTGTTTCTAATGTATATTGGGGGCTAGAGTGTTGCTTTACTACATAATGGCCTCTAAAGGTCAACTAACAAAGTACAGCTACATCACATGTACCTTTAACTTGCCCACTTTCCTCTCTTCTTCCTTCTTTCATCTCCTGCTCTCTTCCTCTCTCTCCATTCTTCCTATTAATCTCTCATACCCACTTCAGTAACCCACCAAACAGCAATGAACACGCAGGCTTCATCTTCAACGCAAAATGCTACCATGTTAAAATGTGACTGAAGAGTCTTGTTTGCTCACCACAAAGTTATGATCAGAATTGTCAGCCAAGACAAGGCAGGTCATGTACAGCATAGTGGCTGCTAGTCATTAAACCTGTACCTGGCGGGCCGGTTTGTTTACCTGCCGTGTCTGCAGGTTCGGCCGATTGCAGCTACCACTGGCCACGGTTTGCTGTCTCAGGCCAAAGGAGGCTGCGGGAAGTGGCGCAGGCCGAGGGATATGCTGGCCACCGCTTCCCACCGAACCTGCAGACGCGGCAGATAAATGAACCGGCCCAGCCCGCCAGGGTGATTACCCTGGCAAGCTGTGTGCCAAAGGTTGCCGATCCCTGAGTTACAAAGTCTGCATTAGCCTTCATACCTGGAACACTTTTTCCAATGCTAAATGCACACAACTTCCTTTATGGAACTGTCCTACCTTTTCCTCCCCGCTCTCAAAATCCAACTTACTTTCTCCTGTGGGTTCCAGTGCAGCTTCTGTACTAGGTCCGTTCCATACAAGCCACTGTACAAAAGGACCGAAGAAACAAACACTAACGAAACAAGGTAAGGAAGATGCGAGATGCTAAATGGCAAATTTGGAAAGAATGTTCAAGTTAAAGTCTAGACTAAGTTTCACCCTGTGGCCAGGTATCTGCATAAATGGGATGGGCGTCTGGGCTCTGAAATGCATTTACAATAATGAACAGTAACCTTGAGGTGAAACTGAAAGCTACTCTTTGCAAGAAAAGCCATAATTTCTTACCCCATAACTAGGGCCCTACTAAATTCATGGTCCATTCTGGCTTAGTCAATTTCACATTTTCAGATGTTTACATCTGAAATTTCATGGTGGTGTAACTGTGGGGGTCCTGACCCAAAAGGGGGTCGTGGGGCAGTTACAAAGCTGTTGTAGGGGAATCCCGGGATTGCCATCCTCACTTCTGTGCTGCCTTCAGAGCTGGGCTCTGAAGGCAGCAGCCGTGGAGCTTACGGCAGCTGGAGGAGGCTCCAGGAGGTGGAGGCGAGTGTGATCTCCCCTATCCTGCTGGGAATGCCTCAGCCATGGGCTCCTAGCGGCTAGTCCAGGCCAGTGGCAGATTAATGCATGGGCCCATGCCCAGGGGCCCCTGAGAAAAGTGGGCACCCTGAGCCCCGGTGGGAGCTGTGGGGGAAGAAGCCCCAAGTCTGACTCCCGACCGGGCTGGGGAGGGACAGGACTTGCTCTTCCCCTGCATGGCTGCTCTTGGGCAGAGATCAGATGCACCCCCAGGTACCTTCCCTGGCTGCAGGAAGCTCCGGGTCTGTGCTGCCTCTGGAGATGGGTCTGATCTCCCCACCGATAACTGAGATTCTTAGTCAATTAATTCCTTCGGTCCTTAAAAAAATAATTAATGGAGGGGGAACAGTGAATCAGTGGAAGTTGTGGTGGTGGGGAATCACATGGCTGATGTTTGGATGACCGCATGGCACAAGTGGGAAGGGGCAGATTCATGGATTCTAAGACCAGAAAGGACAACTGATTAAGTCTGACTTCATGTATAACACAGACTACAGGACTATCTTGAACTGATTCCTGTTTGAACTAGCACGGATCTTTCAGAAAAACATCACATCTTGATTTAAAAACTTCCAGTGATGGAGAATCCAGCACAATCCTTAGCCATTGGAACAACTTCCTAACGCCCTTGTTGTTAACTTGTTTCTTACTTCTAGTCTGAATTTGTCCCGCTTCAATTTGCAGCCACTGGATCTTGTTATATCTTTGTCTCCTAGGCTAGGCCTACACTTGGGGGGTGTCGACCTAAGATACACAACTTCAGCTATACGAATAGCATAGCTGAAGTCGGCATATCTTAGGTCGATTTACCTGGCCGTGAGGATGGCGGCAAGTCGACCATTGCCACTCACCCGTTGACTCCGCTTCTGCCTCTCGCAGCGGTGGAGTTCTGGAGTTGACGGCAGAGCGATCGGGGATCGATTTTTATCGCATCTACACTAGACGTGATAAATCGATCCCCGATAGATCGATCACTACCTGCCCAGCTGGCGGGTAGTGTAGACATACCCCTAGACTGAAGAGCCCTCTTATCAGTTTGTTCTTCCCCATGCAATTATTTAAACTATAATCAAGTCACCCTTTTGTTAAGCTAAACAGCTTGAGCTCCTTGAGCCTAGCACTAAAAGCATTGTTTCCAATACTTTCATCTTTTTCGTGGCTCTCTTCTGAATCCTCTCCAATTAATCAACATCCTTCTTGAACTGTGGACACCAACACTGGACACAGTATTGCACTACAAAAGTGATTTTTCCTCCCTTGGTATTCACTCCTTCTTGTCAACTGTTGAGAATAGCCCACTTCCACCTTAATTGAATTGACTCATTAGCACTGACCCCCCACTTGGTAAGGCAACTCCCAGCTTTTCATATGCTGTGTATTTATACCTCTCTACTGTATTTTCCACTCCATGCACCTGATGAAGTGGATTTTAGCCCACGAAAGCTTATGCCCAAATAAATTTGTTAGTCTCTAAGGTGCCACAAGGACTCCTCGTTAGTATTGCAGTAGTGCTTGCAACAAAGCCATTTACAGAGGTAGTAAAACCTCCCTACTCAATATTCTCATTTATACATCCAAAGATCTCATGAGCCTTTTTTGGCTACAACACTGCACTCAGAACTCATGTTCAGCTGACTGCCCAGGTGTCTTTTAGTCAATGCTTCCCATGACAGATGCCCCTATGCTGTATGGCCCATCTTCTGTGTTCTAGATGTATGACTTTCTATGGAGTTCTGTTAACACAAGCTGTCTGCTTGCAATCAGTTTACAAAGCAGTCCAGACAGCTCTATATCCATGACCTGTCCTCTTCATTATTTACCACTCTCCCCAATCTTCATCTGCAAACTTTATCAATAATTTTGTTTTCTTCCAAGTCATTAACTAAAAATATTAAATAATGTAGGGCTCTGAACTAATCCCTGGAGGACACCAGTTGATACACACCTGCTCAATGATGATTCCCCATTTATAATTAATTTTTGAGACCTGCCAGTTTTTAATCTGTTTAATGTGAACCATGTTGATTTTGTACTCTTGTAGTTTCTTATCAAAATGTAATGTACTTTGACTTGACAGGGTAGTGCACTACAACAACTTCAGCTCCTTTAAAACTCTTGAGTGCAAGTTAACCACACCAGCTAATTTTTAACATGTCTATCTTTAGTAGCTGCTCTCTAACATCCTCCTTAATCACAATTGGAATGGAGAATATTTCATTACCATATCAGAGGGGTAGCCGTGTTAGTCTGAATCTGTAAAAAGCAACAGAGGGTCCTGTGGCACCTTTAAGACTAACAGAAGTATTGAGAGCATAAGCTTTCGTGGGTAAGAACCTCACTTCTTCAGATGCAAGAAAATCTTGCATCTGAAGAAG